TCCGATTCCATTACTCAACGTTATGTGTCATGTGAATCACGCATGGCACATAACTGATTGATATTTATTGTAACCCCCCCCAAAAAAAAAACAAGACATGACAAAACTGGCATGTTTGACATGCCAAGAGAAATTCACAGTAAAACATACTGACAAACAGCAGCAGTAAGAAAAGACGCATGCATGGGGCAACATTTTCGGACTGTGTATCTTCAGAGAGATTCCCTTACTCATCCCTACATCTTTAGTGACGCATATATTCTTCCTCACCAAGCAAAATGACATTGACACACTTCCTCACTAATCTATGTTACATTCAACACTCTTCTTCATCAAGCAACGTGACACATTATGCCTCAACAAGGTAAATGACATTTACACTCCTCCTTGTCAATCTACGTGATACATACACTCTTCCTCACCAAGCTACGTGACATTCAACACTCTCCCTCGCCAAGCTACGTGATATTAACATTAATCTCACCAGGCTACCTGGCACTTACACACTTCCTCACAAACCTAGGTGACATTCAATACTCTTCAACGCCAAGATACGTGCCATTTACTCTCTTCCTCACCAAGCTACGTGATATTTACTCTCTTCCACGGCAAGCTACATGACACTTACACCCTTCCTCACCAAGCTACGTGACGCTTAATCTTTGCTCCCCACTTTTTACCTTGCCTCTTCTTCTCACACATATGCGCGAAGAAATCGCATTACTTTTCATCTTAATAAACAGCTTCAAACAAGGAACATTACCAATCGTGAACGTCGAAACAAATTAGTCGCAAAAACAAGAAAATAAAGATGTTTTTATATATTTATATTTAAAAGCATTTCAGGTATTTTAATTTGTTGTGGTGAATAAACGCTTTCTTGTAGAATTAATAGCAAACATGTTAAAACATTATTTATTCATTTGTTATTTTATTATTATTTTATAATCTGTCAATTAAGCCTTGCAAGATTAATCCCCACCCGTATATATCCGCCATACCCCGGTAATATTTACTTCCATCATTCGCTTCGGATGTCCTATTACGCATTTCTGAGCAAAAGTTACTACTTTCATTACTCGCGTCATATAATGCATCTCTAGTTCCTACATTCTCATTTTATATCACACTCTTCCTACCTCTGCTTCCTACATTTTCTTTTTATATCACGCACCTCTTCTTACGTTATTCTCTTTTTATATGACGCACCTCCTACCTCTGCTTCCTATAGAGTCATTTTATATCACGCTTCTCCTACCTCTACTGCCCACTTTCTCATTTTATATCACGCACCTCACATCTTTACTCCCTACTTCTCCTCTTATGTCAAAAACACGCTCCTCTTACCTCTACTTCCTACTTTCTCCTCCTTTGTTAAATCACTCACCTCTTACCTACACTTCTAGGTTTTCTTTTTATATCACGCACCTCTTATCTTTGTTTCCATTTTTTCCTCTTATGTCATATCACGCTCCTCATACCTCATCCCATATTTCTTTTCTCTTGTAATATCACGCACCTCCTACCTCTTCTTCCTACATTCTCTTTTTATATCACGCACCTCGTACTCTTCTTCCTACATTCTCTTTTTATATCACGCACCTCCTACCTCGTCTTCCTACATTCTCTTTTTTATATCACGCATCTCCTACCTCTACTGCCTAAATTCTCTTTTTATATCACGCATCTCCTAGCTCTTCTTCCTACTTTCTCTTTTTGTATCACGCATCTCCTACCTCTTCTTCCTACATTCTCTTTTTATATCACGCACCTCGTACCCTTCTTCCTGGATTCTCTATTTATATCACGCACCTCCTACCTCTTCTTCCTACATTCTCATTTTATATCACGCACCTCCTACCTCTTCTTCCTACATTCTCATTTTATATCACGCGCCTCTTACCTTTTCTTCCTACATTCTCATTTTATATCACGCACCTCTTACCTTTTCTTCCTACATTCTCATTTTATATCACGCACCTCTTACCTTTTCTTCCTAAATTCTCATTTTATATCACGCACCTCTTACCTTTTCTTACTACATTCCCATTTTATATCACGCACCTCTTACCTTTTCTTACTACATTCTCATTTTATATCACGCACCTCTTACCTTTTCTTACTACATTCCTATTTAATGTCATGCACCTCCTACGTCTAATTCCTACATTCCCTTTTTATATCACGCACCTCATACCACTTCTTCCTATATTCTCTTTTTATATCACGCACCTCCTACATCTTCTTCCTAAATTCTCTTTTTATATCACGCACCTCTTACCTCTACTTTCTCCTTTTATGTCAAATCACGCTCCTCTTCCCACTTTGGCTTCTTATGTTATATCACGCACCTCTTACCTCTACTTCGTACCTTCTCTTTTTATATCACGCACCTCCTACCTTTATTTCCTCTTAGGTCATATCACGCTCCTCCTACCTCTTCTTCCTTCGTTTTTTCTCTCGTAATATCACGCACCTCCTACCTTTACTTCCTCCTGTTATGTCATATCAAACACCTCATACTTAGCTTGCTCCACAACTGAGTGTTTATCTCTACCACGTGATTTTTCTACATGGCGCTGTGAACAGGATTATTGGCTAACGATCCTTGGGCTCCTGTGTTGCCATTTACGATTCTCTTTGCCGTTTTGACAGCAAGCTCTGCCCGACCATTGGATTGTGGGTAACCAGCAGATTATAACCTGTGTTTGACAGCCCAGTCTTGTAAAATTGGCGAATGTAAAAAGGATGTGAAGGGTCGCCCACCATCAATGCTGAGTTCCTCAGGAGCACTGTAGGCTTGAAATATGCCTCGGAAAATTGAAATAATCCTTGACGCATTAGCTTCTCCGTGGCTCAAGTGGTATAGATTTAGCCAGCCTGTTAACCTGTCAGCGCATGCAAAGTAACCATGGTTCCCAACATGGAAGATGTCCATGATTTGCTGAAATGGCCAATCAGGAGATGGTGTCAAGTTGATTGGCTCTTTTGGTTGACTCAGGGCAATTTTGAGCAGAACGTACCCAACCTGCTCTAATGTTACGTGAAGCATTCATCCTGGGCCAATAAACAGATTCATTGGCACGTGCCTTCATTCAACTTCACCTTGGTGTGCAGAATGTAGGCTATGTAAGACTTTGCGCGTTGAGGTGGGGATAACGATTCTTTGATCTAATAGCACTAATCCATCGTCAACACTTAGGCGGTGCCTCACTTCCCAGTATTCGCTTGGTTTCGGGTGCAGTGAGGCTGCGCGTCCTTTGGAATCCATTTCGTATACCTCAATTAATTTTTTGTATTGCGGGTTGCTGCGTCCCGACGCACGGATAACGTCTGGTGAGATGATCTCCAGGTTGTCATTTGCACCGAATGTTGCTAATAGGGTTGTTGATTTGACCCAGTCATCCATATTGTCAGACTCTATGATGTCTGATTGAGAGGGTTCAGCAGTGAATACATTTAAGTGTGCCTGTGAGATGTCTGCTGGGTTACGAGAGACAGCATCGGAGGCTCTGTGCCATTTTCCAGGGCAGTGCCATGTAGAAAAATCACGTGGTAGAGATAAACACCCAGTTGTGGAGCAAGCTAAGTGAATAATAATCCAACCTTTAGAAAGAGAGCTATTTATGTTGCCATGGAGCATCTCATTATGCTAAAGTGGGATAGTCCATTGCTTGGGCTGTGATTGGTTGCTGGTACCTGAGTGGAGGTATTTATATATAAATACCAGCTTTATTATTCATCAGTTAGTTTGCAGGGTTTGTATTAAGTTACAACCTGCTTTATTTTTGTCTGCCAGCTGGACGCTAGCTGGGACCTTTACGCCGGGACCAATTTAGAGCCTCAGCTGTGTTTCGGTATGGCCGTAGACGGAGCTGTGACTGGGTTGTTCTCTGTCCAATGTTAGAGCCACAACTGTCCTGAGTTATATCCAGAGACAGAGCCACGATTGGGTTGCGCTCAGTCTGAAATCAGAGCCACAACTGGTTTGCGCATTGTCCGGAGACAGAGCCGCGACTCCGTTTCGGTATGTCCATAGGCAGAGCCACGACTGGGTTGCGCTTTCTCCGAAGACACAGACACAATTGCGAGATGATAAACGAGATACGGCGCACCGAATCTCGCAGATTCATCTTCCATGACTCGCGTATTATATTCTGTCCTCCTTTTGACTTCTGGTGTGCTTATATAATCTCTATACATTAGCTATGTTAATTTGTCAGTTAATTTCATATCACTACAATTTCGTCTTATTTGAAAACAGGAAGGAAAACCTCCCAAGGCTGTTTAGTATATTTTTAAAAATCTTAATTTTAAACTTTTAATAAAACCATAACATATGAAACTAAATTTATTTTCACTTTTTTCAAAAATTATTTATTTTCATTTTTTAAAAAATTGTATTTAATTTTCCCCCGGACGGCTACAGTTTAATGTCTGTTTATCGGCAGTATCGTCGAAAAATTCTCGAAGTCCCCTCGGCACTTCCCCATTTTGGTAATGCCTCAGGCGCCGAGCAATAAACTACGCCCCTCCTGAAAAAAAGGTACTGCCTGGGAGCTTTGGTACCTAGGGGCTTGAGCTATTATTATCGACAGAGGAGCGAACTATAATATGTGAAACTGAATTATATATTTTTTTTTTCTGGTTGTAATTAACCATAAATGTCTCAGTTTGTTTTTATTGTAAATTTCGATGGAGGCTTCTGTTTGCTATTATGTTTCATATTTTGGGGGAGGTTATTTATATTATAAAAATAGTTTTTATTTAAAGCGATGTACAACAAAAAAGCGTCCTTATAAAACATGGTTTTGCGACTTGTCATTCATTGAAAGATGAATAGGTCCAGATATACCACAACCTTTAAACTTGTGAAGGACAGCAGTATGCCAAACCCTGTCAAATGTCTTCGTGATATACAAATCAAAAACTTGATAAACTCTTTCAGCAGTAATCGTTAATGTATCAGCACTTGAGCCACAGAAGCGAAAGTCACTTAT